ATTTTATTTTAACATAAAAAACTTACTTATCAACAACTTCAAAATACATACTAAAACTTCTTGCTTTAGGTCACGCACACTTGACTGATTTTAACATAGCGACGAGACTGCAAAAGGACGGACTTGCATGCAGCATGTCTGGCACTAAGCCATATATGGCACCAGAGGTATTCATGTGCGCTTTAGAGGAAGTCGGTAAGTTGAAGCTTAGCCCACTGACTACAAATACTCCAATACCTCATAAATATATGCATTCGTAGCTGGTTATAGTTACCCAGTCGACTGGTGGTCACTGGGCGTGGTTGCGTACGAAATGCGTGCCAATGTGCGGCCCTTCGTCGTCCATTCGAACACCGGACTAGCGGAGGTGAAGCATATATTGAACGTGCCGGTACACTATCCGCGCTATTGGAGTCATGATTTCATCGATTTGCTAACAAAAGTAAGTCATTCAATTGATGGTATATATAAATATAAGTAAATATGTACATACATATGTATGCATCTGTTGTTCATGCGTCATCTTTTCCATCTGTATCTTATTGTATCTTATCACAGTTGCTCTGCGTGCATCCGGGCGCACGCATCAGTTCGCAGCAAGAGCTCCAACAAACGCCGCTGCTGCGATATGTAGACTTCAAAGGTATTTTGGAGAAAAAGACAAAACCACCCTTTAAACCACCTGAAGATCATCTCAATTGCGATCCGTGTTTGGAGTTGGAGGAAATGATTGTTGAAACGCGGCCGCTGCATAAGAAAAAGAAACGTCTGGCCAAGCAGCGTTCAGCACAACGTGACAGCGACCCGGAAACGGTGCTCATAAAAGAATTCATTGTCTATAATCGCTATAAGGAATTAAAGCGGAAAGCTATGGAGAAGAAAGAGAACGAATGGCAACGTGAACTGGAACACGCAATGGCGAATTCAATTATGACTAGTTTAGCGCCAATACAGGAGAAGCCAACTTCAATGCATCTCAGTAGTGATGATGGCGATGACAGCGCAGCAATGACCACCAACGGCAATGTTGTAGCCAATCCTTTCATAAACAACACGTCATCACTCACAAAAACTAATACAACTGCAACAATAGCAAGCATATCTAGCAACACCACCGACGGCGCATTACTGACGAGTGATTCGCTTTGCACTGCAATCACTTCAATTGAAGAAGCACCTACAGCAACAACAACTATGGGGGCTACTGTTGCGAGTACTGCAACAGCATTGCCACCGATCTGTGTTAAATGCCGACAACAAACCCCCAGCGCCGTAATGCAAACCACGCAACCACATAAAACACAACAATCATCAGGCACAAAGGATAATGAAAGCTTAGAATTTATTGATCGCACACCTTCGCCACCCGCAGTGCAAGGCGAAGCGCTAACGCCGTTAGCGGCAAGCACTTCGGTGTAGGCGAATGTTGTGATTTGTGGGAATATTGCTAATTAAAAACGGTATAATTAAGAACGACTCGTAACCGCGCTCGTAATACGTTTAAGTGTACACAGTTTATAAGTATCTATTACCTTGCTTATACCAATGTAAGAACGGCATTTACAATAAACCGATTTGACTCAACACATATTTCTTGCAAAAGTTTAACATTTGTTGTTCTCTTTAATAATTTATTTGCGCGATTGACCGAAATGAAAACAAACAATAAATCAAATTTATTTTAATAATAATTCAAATTTAAAACGGGCTGTATAAAGAAAACCTGCATTTTTCACTTCGCGTCAAACGAGTGATGTGTTTAAACCTGTTTTCTAAGCGATGTGAGTAGAACACCGATTTGAAAACAAAATCGAGTCAATACACTTTTGAATTTCTGAGCGAATGGAAATTTGGTTTATGCTTCCGTTTTGAAGATCACAGCGTACTGGGTAAAAGCGCTTTATGTGTCGGTATAAACAAGGTATATATAGTATCTACATATGCATACATATAAGTATTCGTATGTAGTTATTTATTTTTCGTATAACAAATGGCGGTTGGCTTTAATCACGTTTAGCTTACGAACCAATTTAACAATCTTAAAAGGAGATACGTCAAATCAAAGCTAATAAAATTATCTATAAACCATATGTCTATACATCACTTTCCGATTGGACTGATAGTTTCTGACAAATTACTTAATCACTCCAGTTTTTTTTTTTTTTTTTATGAAAAAAAATCAAGCTTTAATAGAAGAAAAATTTTAAAAATAACAGGTTCTGTGCCAAATTTTTGCATCTGTGCTAAAGCCTGTTCTATTGCAAAGATTTCGCATTGATCCAAAATATTTTTATAGAAGTGATCCTCTAACGGGCTGCCTTTGGTGGTTGGTATTTAGTTTTTAGTATTTTTGCTTATATTTTGTTTAGAGTTCAAATATCCATCCCAAACCATGTGGCTTAGTAGAAACTTTATCGAAACGAATGCACTGAATGAACACTACTCACACTACTGTATGTTTAGAAGGAGTTATATTAAAATTGTTAATTCTGACGTTTGACCTGATTTACTTATTACACAATTACACCTGTGTGCGACCTATGTGTTTTTAGTTTCAGGAACGGTGGGGTAACTGCAGCTACTTGGTTTTCTACATTCCTTTTCTATCGAGACACAAAACAACAATGAAATAGCAAAATATATTTATACAGTAAAAAAAATAGACAAGCTAAGTGGTCAAGTTGAAGATATTTAGTATCAATGTCTGAACTTTGTATGTAAGTAATATGATTTATCTTTTAATCTGCATGTAATTATTTCATCTAAACTTATATTTTTTAAATGCTTCAAAAATCATGTATGAAAATGTCATTTAAAAAGTTTTCTAAACATTTTTTTATGAATTTAGGCTAAGTATGTAAATAAACATATGTATGTATATACATATTGCACAAGTTCTTCAAAAGTGTATTAATTCAAATTTTTTGTATTGC